CCCCAAAACCCCAAAACCCCAAAACCCCAAAACCCCTAATAATATTTAAGCCTTTGAGAGTTATAAAATTTAGCAAAGACATGGGTAAGTTTCATTCTAAATTTCAGGGATTTGATACATGTTAGGTAGCTTCTTAGCTAGCTTGAATAAGAACTCTTCTTCTCTTGTGTACTTCTTCTCTGGTTTATTATACTCAGAAATTACGTATCGGTCGATAATCTCATAATAAAGCTCAAGGCCAAAACTTTCTTCGTAAATCTTTCATTTCTTGTCCTTATCTGCTTTATCAATCTGACACTTGGGCAGGACTAAGATGCCTGATTTATCCAAGAAGGATGTGTGAAACCAGAAGTGGAATAGCTTCTTTTTGGAGTACGCTGTTTTGTGAAAAAATTCGATCTTCACATCATCTATTAGGAAGAGTTCTGACAGAATATGGAAATCAAAGAAATTTTTTTCTCAAATAAACTCTGTTTTTATTTCATCTTTTGAACTAAAATGCTTAGCTTTCTCGTCTTTGTGGTCATTTTTAATGATAAAGTAAGGACTACACCCTCCTCCACTGACTTTAGGAATTGTGAGCATCCTGATTTTGTTCAACTTGATGGCAACTTTTTGAATTTCAAAATCTTTATCCAAACTATCAGCAAAATAATGTACATATCTGATCTGAGAAGGAATGGTTACTCCCTTCTTGTTATTCGTTCTGGCATAGGCATAAAAGTCGATAGCATCTTTAGCTTTGGTGAACTTGCCTGAGTATAACAAATAAGCTCAAATCATAACTCCAGTTCTTCCTTTCCCTGCCTTGCAATGGATGCAAGCAACATTTCTCTCATCTTCTTTGAACCAATTGTCCAGATCCATGCAAAAACTCTTGAGCATGTAGAACATGGGTGCATTATGATCATCAAAGATAAACTCTCTACTACAATTTTTGAATCAATTTTCACCATATTTCCTCTCAGTACAGAGGTTATAGACCTTGTAATGGCCTTCATATTTGGTCTTCAGAAATCTCTGGACATCCTTCATATTATTCCTGATCATCGCCTCAACACCTGTACTGGGGTACCCCATTGCAATGATTCGAGGAGTAATAAAGGCTAAGTCAAGGTCGAATCCATCCTTAATGTATCTTCTCTTTTCACGAGAGTTGAGTTTCTTAATGCTCTTGGTCTTATTTGTCCTCGATTCCCATTTCACTCCACATTTGTTTGACTTGTTGTTCCATTTTGCGGATGAGGAGCTCTTCTTCATAATCTTCAGAGAACTCAGCATCTTCTGCTCCAAGGAGATGGTTATGAATCTCGATGAAATGTCTGTCAACATCTTCGATCTTATCAAACGTAGGAATAGCAGGAGCTTCGAGGCCATCATGACGTTTAGACGGCGAGGGAGTCCTAGACTTCGCAACCTTCTCTTCTTCATGTGCCTCAGACTTGAACTTGAGGTGAATCTCCTTCATTGGCCTATATGGCTCAATAGTAGCCCCCTTTATTGGCTTATACTCTAGTTTATTCTCTATATAGATGAGAGGCGAAAAAAATACTTGGATGATCCCTATCATCATCTGGAAGGGTATTCTCCACGTGCATTTTTACGAAAACTAAATTATATAACTGATTTTTAGAGAATTTCAACGAGTTCTAAAAATCGTGGGGTTTTGGGGTTTTGGGGTTTTGGGG